AGCACTCATCTCTGCGGCACGGGCCGGCCTCCTCGGCGGGCGCTGGCCTGCAGCGCCGTCCACGCGGCGGGCAGGGGTCCCAGGCCCGGCCTGCCTGCCCGAGGGAGGCGGCCAGAAGAGAGCCCACCCCGGGAGCACCCGCAGGCAGGAGGACCCGGCGCAGGGCTACGGCGCGGCGCCGGCAGAGGCCGGATCCTGTCCGCGGCACCGCAGTGCGGCGCGCCGAGACCCTGCCGCCGCCGGGCCCGTCCGGGGGGCGCCACGGCAGCGGGGGCGGCGGCGCTCACCGTCGCACAGGAATCCGGCCAGCCCCCAGATGAAGTCGGAGCACAGGTGGCAGAAGGTGGGCTTGGTGAGCGTCACCTTCCGGAAGCCGTGGCCCGGCGCGGCGGGGCCCGGGGGTCCGGCGCCCGCGCGCCCCGACTGCGCGCACGCGCCCCCTCCGCCGCCCGGCTGGGAGCCGCAGGTCGGGTCCCCGGGGCGTGGTGGGCCGCCGGCCGGCCAGGCGCGGGCCCCGGGCTCGGCCGCCGCCGCCATCGCGGCCGCACGGCCAGAGCGCTCGAGCCCGGAGGGCAGGACCGGGTCCGTGCTGGGGGCCGCCGCCGCCGCCGATGCGGCGCTTCCGACCCCGTCGCCGATTGCGCAGGCGCGGGGCGGGGCCGGGGCGCCGGGGGCGGGGCCTGTGGCACTGGGGCGGGGCGGTCGCGTGGCCCCGCCCCACGGCTGTGTCTGCGGACCCCGGCCGGCGCGGATGGGGCAGTGGGTGCCGTCCGGAGGAGACGTCCGGGGGAGACGTCCGGGGGAGACGTCCGGGGGCCGCGAGTACGCGGGTGTCCGCGCCCGGGCCCCTCCCGCCGGCGGCCGCGGAAGTCCGGGCCGCGCCCTAGGAGTCTGCGGCCGGCGGATCCGCGGGGCTGGTGCCTGGGCGCGGGGAGGGCTTGGACCCCGGGTTCTCGGGAGCCCGCGTTCTCCCCTCTCCTGCACCTTCGCTCGGGAGGCCCGGGGTCCGCCAGCGCCCGCTGCGGCCCGGCCGCGCCTAAGGAGAGCCGAGCGCCGCACACGTCCTGCGCGGGAATCCGCGTGCGCCCTGACGGCCGGACCAGGCTTCCGTCCCGCGCTGCGCCCGCCTCCGAAGGCCCCGCAGCGCCTGCCCTCGGCCGCAGACGCCAGTGGCTCCCGGTTCTGGATCCGGCCGCCGCCCGCGCAGGCCCGGTGCAGGTGTCACCGCATTGTTGGGGGTGGGCTTGTGTCCCCCAGAACTGCTCCCTCGGTGACCCCGCTGCTTCCCAGGGCGCCAGCCGCTCCCTGCCTGCGGGAGACATGTGTGCCTTTTACATTTTCCTGAGCCAGCCACGGGCTCTTAAAAAAAAAATGTTGTTTATTTGGGAGAGTGATACAGAGAGAAATCTCCCATCTGCCGGTTCACTCCCCAGATGTCTGCCGCAGCTGGGGCTGGGGCTGAGCCAAACCAGGAGCCAGGAGCTCCATCCCGGCCTCCCACAGCCTTGCAGGGGCCCGAGCAGCTGCCTCCCAGGGACGGTCACGGGGAGCTGGACTCAGCAGGCAAAGCCGCAGCTTTCTTTTTCTTTCTTTTTTTTTTAATGTATTTTATTTATTCAAAGGTAGAGTTACAGCGGGAGAGAGAGAGAGAGGTCTTCCTCCACTGGCTCACTCCCCAAATGGCTGCAATGGCTGGGGCTAGGCCAGCCAGGAGCCAGGAGCTTCCTCCGGGTCTCCCACGCGGGTGCTGGGGCCCAAGCACTTGGGCCATCCTCTACTGCTTTCCCAGGCCAGAGAGAGAGCTGGATGGGAAGAGGAGCAGCCGGGACTAGAACTGGCTAAGGTCATATGGATGCCGGCGCTTCAGGTGGTGGCTTTACCCACAATGCCACAGCGCCAGCCCCAGCCAAGCCATGTCTCAGCCACTCTGCCAAATGCCTGCCCCAGCCTGCCTTCCTCCCTGGAGAGAATCAAGGTGCCGGCAGTCCCCACCAGCGCGTCCACACCCTGCGGCCAGCAGCACCGAAGCTGGTTACCGCCCATGGTTACCTACAAGCACCCCTTCCTGACTGATTAACCACAGCCTGCCCAGAGGGTCCCAGCTGTCCACGGGACCCTCAGCGGTCAGCCTCACCTGCTCCAGGAGCCCAGGGCCGCCCTCTCCTACGGCGCTGGCCTGGCACTGCCGTCGGTGTCTGACAGCTCCCTGGGCCCTGGAGCCCGCTCCTCACTTAGTGATGTTCCCCTGTGGAGGCGGCACCAGCCCCTTCCCAGCATCCCCGAGGCTCCCCCAGAACCGTTAGGACGAGTGCCTGTCACCTGCCGGGCCCCCTGGAGACCGTGGCTCTCGTAGACCCTGTGCCTGTGACCCTGTACCCAGCTGCCCTTTGTGCCTTGGGTCCTGCACGTGGCACCCCCGGCAGCTCCGCTCAGCTCCTGCGGCCTCCCTGAGGTGGGGTGGAGCCAACCCTGGGCCCTCCAGGTATTCGACCCACACAGGGTGGCTGCCGGCTCTCAGTCCCGTGCCAAGTGCCAGGCTGTGCCTCCTGGGACCTGGGGCTTCCCGGGAGCCCTTGGAACTCATGGACATGCAAACACACTGCTGCTCACCTCCTGGCTGCACTCAGAACGGTCCACAGGTTAGCCTGTTCCTGACACACGCAGGATCTGAGAGACACCACACTGTCTCAGCACCAAGGCCTGGCCAACAAAGGGCTCCATTTCCCATTTAGTGCAGAGCAGTGGCATGCCACCTACACCTGAACCCTGGGAACCTCCGCCTCACAGACACCCCAGAACGTAAGTCCGAATCGCTTGTCTGCACATAGAATCGCACTCCCTGTGTGCAGGCAGGAGCACCCCTCTGTGTACAGTCAGAACCACTCGTCTGCACGTGCAGCCAGAACCAGCCAGATTCCGCCTCCACGTACCATCGGAATCACGGTCAGGTGCAGTCAGAATCCGTCTACACACAGACTCAGTCCCTACAGACAGAATCCGTCTCCACGTGCGGTGACAGTTACATCTCTGTAGACGCACCATCTCCGTGTACAGCCAGAAACCACACTTCTCCGCGCAGTGCAATCAGTGTGTTCGTGCAGAATCGCACACCTCCATGCATGGCTGGAATCGGTCTACAGAAACCAGAGTCAGGTTTGGGCTGTCACTGTGGTATAGCGGGCTAAGCTGTCACTTCTGGCACTGGCATCCAGTATGGGCGCCGGTTCAAGTCCCAACTGCTCCTCTTTCAGCTCCCTGCTATGGCCTGGGAAAGCAATAGACGGCCCAAGTCCTTGGGCCCCTGCACCTGCGTGGGAGACTTGGAGGAAGCTCCTGGCTCCTGGCTTTGGATCGGTGCAGCTCCAGCTGTTGTGGCCATTTTGAGAGTGAAGCTGCAGATGGAAGCCCTCTCTCTCTCTCTCTCTCTCTCTCTCTCTCTCTCTCTCGTCTCTGTCTCTGTCTCGCTGTAACTCTGCCTTTAAAATAAATAAATCTTAGAGAGAGAGAGAAAAAGAGGGATTTATTCATTTGAAAGGTAGAGTGACAGAAAGAGAGAGAGATTCCATCTGCTACTGGTTCATCCCTCCCCCCCACCCCGGCTGCATCAGCCTGGGCTGGTCCGGATCCAAGCCAGGAGCCCGGAGCTCCATTTGGGTCTCCCACTGGGCCATCTTCCACTGTCTTCCCAGCCATTAGCAGGGAGCTGGATGGGGAAGTGGAGCCGCCGGGACTGGAACTGTAGCCCCCACGTGGGATGCCGGCACTGCAGGCGGTGGGGCTGGTGTTCGTGGTGTGTGCTGGGGGGTGTCTCCTCCCACTCCCCCCCCATCCTGAGTGCCCCCATCCTCACCTGGGCTGAGCCGGCTGTGTGAGCGGCTCACCGGGTCTGTGCTCTTTCCCGTCCACCCCCCAGTCCTTCAGGTCTCCCTGTGTTGGGGCTCCCCTGCTGTGGAGCCACCGGTTAAGCTTTGTCAGCTTCATTGAGAAATGGCTCCTATGCAGTGAAATGGGCCAGTTTGGCAGGTGGACGTCCATAAATCTTGACTATTTCCTTGAAGGTTTTTACTATTCTTACTGTCTCGATGTTGAAGAGTTTCAGACTCACAGAAGAACATGTGCCTCCCACCGGGCCGGTGACGGTTGACAGTTCCCTGCGCTTGCTTCTGTCTCACGATCAGGACTTGTGCTTTTAGTTTCTGGAGCTACTTTGGGTACAGGCCCCTCTGGATGCTTTAGCGTGGACCTCACGGGTCGCAGGGTCTCTGCACTCAACCCGGCCACGGTCACTGTCATCTAGTAGTTCTCGAAATTTGTCCCAGGTCAAATTTTGCTGTGTAGCACGTAGTCCTGAGTCCTGAGCACGCCCCGCTGCGCCACCTGTGCGGGTGACGTTTGCTCGGTCATCTCCCCCCAGGCAGATCCATGCACTTGAGCCCTGGTGACTCAGGACCCTGCTTCTGCCACACCCTTGGCCCTTGGGGTCCCACACCTCTGCCCGAAGTCTGGGCCCCCTGAGGCAGACAGAGCTGCACTTCCTTTACAACGGGAAACCCCTCCAGGCCCGGAGCCCAGGTCTGAACGCCGGCCTCGCTGCACTGGGAACTCTGCCAGGCCTGCCCCACTGTGCTCGCAGGAAGAGGACCAGGACTCTGTCCAGCTGCGTCAGATCTCAGGATGCCGGTCCCACCGCCTTCCCCCTCCAGGGCCGTGTTGCCGCACAGATGCCCCGAGCTAGACAGCGTACAGAGGAGGAGTTGGGAGGCCCAAGGGCGTGGCCAGCGTGCACTGCCCGGCCAGGGGCTCTCAGCGGCCGGGGAGCCGGGTCACCCGCCCCTGTGCTCTCAGCCAGGTGTTGGCCCCGCTGAGCACCAAGCCCCCGGCACGGCACGGAGGCGCCACGACGTCTCGACGGCTCTCCAGCTTCCGTGGGTGTCGGGCCGAGCGTGGCAGCAGCTCTCGCTGAGGACACTCCCAGGGTCAGCTTTTCTTCCCACTTACGGTTTTCGTTTTTGTTTAAAGATTTATTTATTCACTTGAAAGGCAAAGTTACAGAGAGAAAGAGACAGACAGACAGGTCTTTTGTCCTCTGGTTCACACCCCAAATGGCCACAACAGCCGGAGCCAGGAGCCAGGAGCCTTTTCCAGGTCTCCCACGTGTGTGCAGGGACCCGAGCCCCTGGGCCGTCCTCTGCTGCTCTCCCAGGTGCGTTAGCAGGGAGCTGGAGCGGCCGGGACCTGAACCAGCGCCCACACAGATGCCGGTGCCACAGCAGCCGCTTTGCCCGCTGCGCCACAGCGCTGGCCCCCGTCTTGCAATTTCAGCATAAGGGGACCTAATTTTAAATAGCATCTGAAGACACCCCCACATAAAAATGACCTCAGAACCATTTAGTTCCAGCACCCAGTTTCCAGCCCACTGTGGTCCAGTGTCTCGTTCATTCCTCACCACTGTCGTCGTGAGGGTGATTTTACAGTGATTCTGAGTTCACCCCTGCGTGCGTGGGGTCTTCCGCGGGGCGCTTGACCCTCTAAGAATGTGCTTCAGAAATCCCCTCAGTGTGGGCAGCCTGGGGGCCCGGGTCTCCCGTGCTATGCGGGCATGGTGCTCACCTGGGGGACCCCGTGCTGTGCGGGCGTGGTGCTCACCTGGGGGCCCGGGTCTCCCGTGCTGTGCGGGTGCTGCTCACCTGGGGGACCCCGTGCCGTGCGGGTGGTGCTCACCTGGGGGACCCCGTGCCGTGCGGGCGTGGTGCTCACCTGGGGGACCCCATGCCGTGTGGGTGGTGCTCACCTGGGGGACCCCGTGCTGTGTGGGTGGTGCTCACCTGGGGGACCCCGTGCCGTGCGGGCGTGGTGCTCACCTGGGGGACCCCTGCTGTGCGGGTGCTGCTCACCTGGGGGACCCCGTGCCGTGCGGGCGTGGTGCTCACCTGGGGGACCCCGTGCTGTGCGGGTGCTGCTCACCTGGGGGACCCCGTGCCGTGCGGGCGTGGTGCTCACCTGGGGGACCCCGTGCCGTGTGGGTGGTGCTCACCTGGGGGACCCCGTGCCGTGCGGGCGTGGTGCTCACCTGGGGGACCCCGTGCCGTGTGGGCGTGGTGCTCACCTGGGGGACCCCGTGCCGTGTGGGTGGTGCTCACCTGGGGGACCCCGTGCCGTGCGGGCGTGGTGCTCACCTGGGGGACCCCGTGCCGTGCGGGCGTGGTGCTCACCTGGGGGACCCCGTGCCGTGCGGGCGTGGTGCTCACCTGGGGGACCCCGTGCCGTGCGGGCGTGGTGCTCACCTGGGGGACCCCGTGCCGTGCGGGCGTGGTCTCACCTGGGGGACCCCGTGCCGTGCGGGCGTGGTGCTCACCTGGGGGACCCCGTGTTGTGTGGGTGGTGCTCACCTGGGGGACCCCGTGCTGTGTGGGTGGTGCTCACCTGGGGGACCCCGTGCTGTGCGGGCGTGGTGCTCACCTGGGGGCCCGGGGTCTCCCGTGTTGTGCAAGTGCATCTGTCTAACCTGTGCTAGTTTCGGGCCCTTCTCTGCTCACAGTGGAGGCTCCCACTGTCCCCAGCTTCTCGCCCTGAGGTCTCTGCTGGGTGCAGGTGAGGACGACTCCCCCAGTGGAGCAGGTGCAGCCCAGCAGGGACTCCGGCCCTCACTGCCTCCGACGCCGCTGCAGCTGGCCAGCCTCTGCGCCTCCCGGCCGGCCCACCTCCCACTGCGGTAAACTGCCGCCTAGCTGCGGCCCCCACCTCAGGACGGCGACCCCGCGATGGAGGGGCTTTCGGGGGCTGGCGACCCCGGGGCTGAGGGTCCTGGGGGGGCTTCCCACCCGCTGGGAATCGTCTCCGCAATGCGGTAACCCACTGAGAGCACGTGCACATCCTGACACCCAGGCCCCCCCCCCGGACCGGCCTCTTGGCCACACCGGTGCCCCCCGCAAGTCCAGCCCCCCAGCAGGAACCTCTGGTCACTCGGATCCAGGACCCCGGCCCGCTCCAAACCCTCGAGGTCATCCTCCCGGGCCGCCCAACAGCCCAGGGTGCAGAGCGTCGGGTCCAGCGGGGGCCGCAGGGCGCCGGTAGGGCCTTGCAGGAAGGGGCGGGGCCGCCGCGCGTCCAGGCCTCCGACCCCACGCGTCTCCCTCGCGTCGTGTCCCGCCCACGGCCGCAGGCCCCGCCCAGGCCGCCGGCCCCGCCCCTCCCGGAAGCGCCCGAGCCCCGCCCAGGCCGCCGGCCCCGCCCCTCCCGGAAGCGCCCGAGCCCCGCCCAGGCCGCCGGCCCCGCCCCTCCCGGAAGCGTCCGAGCCCTGCCTGTGGCGGCGGTCACGTTGGGGCGCCCGGGAGACTCCGCCAGCGGCGAGCCCCGCAGCGCCCGCCCGGCTATGCGCCCCCCGGCCGCTCTGCTCGCGCTCCTGGCCGCGCTCCTGGCCGCGGCCCCGGCCGCCCTGGCCGAGGCCCCGCACCTGGTGCGCGTGGACGCGGCCCGCGTGCTGGGGCCCCTGCGGCCTTTCTGGAGGAGCACGGGCTTCTGGTGAGCGCCACGCGGGGAAGCGGAGGGGGGGCCGGACCCCACCCCCGCCCTAGAGACGAGGCCTCGGCGTCCTGGCCTCGGGGTCGCTTTATTGTCCCCGAGCCGCAGGCAGGGCCCGGCCTCACACAGCCCCGGTCTGCCCCAGCCCCCCACTGCCGCACAGCCAGGCCGCCCGCTACGACCTCAGCTGGGACCAGCAGCTCAACCTGGCCTACGTGGGCGCCGTCCCGCATGGTGGCATCCAGCAGGTGCGGACCCACTGGCTGCTGGAGCTCGTCACAGCCAGGTGGGTGTGTGCCGGCGGGGAGGGGTCTCTGGGCGCCGCTGGCTGTGCCGGGGCTGCCTCTGCCCGAGGACACCTTGGAGGCCCAGCTGGGCTGGTGGCTGCTGGCCCTGGCCTTGCGAGCTCCAGCAGGGGTGAGGCACAGGTGTGGGAGCACTCGGGTGACCCGGAGACTGCCCTGGGCCGCTTGGTGGGGGCCGCTGCCGGCCCGGGACAGCTGCCCTCGTGTGTGTGCGCGCTCGTGACCGGAGCCCCTTCCCCTGCGGGGCTCACAGGGAGGGGCCGCCCGCTAGACGCTGCAGCTGGCCTCCTGGGGGCAGTGGCGGGCGAGGGCGGCCTGCACGGCGCCGTGCACGCTGTGGAACAGCTGCTCGTCCTCGGCCGCCTCCCCGAGGAAGCCGCCCCTCCTCAGGGTCTCCCTCACCGGGGGGCTGCAGCAGGCCAGCAGCAGGGCCACGCCCAGGGCCCCGTAGTCCCCGCGCAGCTGCTGCAGCGTGGCCAGGCCCGCCGCGTCCAGGAACAGCAGCGGGGCGCAGTCGATGACCACGGTGTGGAAGCCGGCCGGCCGGGGCACCAGCCCCGCGCCCGCGTCCGCCCCCGCGTCCGCCCCCGCCCCCCGCTGCTTTCTCCTGGCAGCCCAGCGCCCGGCGTCCAGCCCCGTGAGGCTGTACAGGGAGCGCAGGAAGAAGTCCTTGTTGGCGTAGTACAGCGGCCCCCCGAAGCGAAACACCTGCACCCCGGGCTCGGGGACCAGGCCCTCAAACTCCGTGGCGTCCTCGTAGAAGCCGGAGTTGCCGATGCGGGCCAGCAGCGTGGCCCGTGGCTGCCGCGTCCGGCCTGCCAGGCTGAGCAGGGACAGCAGCGCTCCGGCCAGCAGCCCGGCCTCGGTGGTGACCAGCACGCAGGTGGCCGCGGTGGCCACCCAGACCAGCGCGTCGGCCGGGCTCAGCCGCCAGAGCCGCGGGAGGTCCCGCGCCTTGCCCAGGGCGCCCCGCAAGCTGACCACGATGATGCAGGCCAGCACGCTGCGCTGCAGGTCCCGGAACAGCGGGGCCAGCGCCAGCAGCACCAGCAGCACCACGGCAGCGCTGACCACGCTGGACAGCTGCGTCCGGCAGCCGGTGGCCGTCTTCACCAGGGTTTTGGCCAGGGCGGCGCTGGTGGCGAAGCTGTGGAAGAAGGCGGGCAGCAGGTTGCAGCAGCCCACGGCCAGCAGCTCCTGGTTGGCGCGGACGGAGTAGCCGTGGCTGCGGGCGAACATCTCGGCCAGCGAGAGGGAGAAGGCAGAGCTCACCAGGGCCAGGGGCACCGCGTCCAGGGCCACGCGCTGCATCAGCCAGGCGTCCGGCACGCGCGGGGCCACGAACCCGGTGGGGATGTCGCCAGCCACCCGGGAGCCGAAGCGCTCATGGAGCCGGCCGAAGTGGGACACCAGCGTGGCCGCCACGATCACCAGCAGCTCCGTGGGCAGCGGCACCTTCAGCCGGTGCCGGCAGCCGTTCCGAGAGCGCCTTTGCGGCCAGCAGCACCGCCAGGCACACGGCGCTGGTGACCACGTCGCACACGTTGGCCTGCCCGGTGCTGCGCAGTAGGCTCAGCCAGGTCCTGAGCACCATGCCCGGGCCCTGGTGCCGAGGGACCTGCACGCCCAGCAGGTGCCTCAGCTGCGAGGTCAGGATGGTCACGGAGGCCCCCATGGCAAAGCCGTCCAGCAGTGGCTGCGAGAGGTAGGTGGACACGAAGCCCAGCCGGAGGACGCCCATCAGAACCTGCGGACAGAGAGCAGGCGGGCTGTCGCAGCTCGGACACACGCGTGGCCCTTGCATGTCCACACGGCTGGCCGCGGGTGCCGCCTCACCCCTCCCAGGCTCAAGCCGTTTTACTTCAGCCCCTTGCCCTGTGCTGCCCCCAGCCCTGCCGTGCAGGTGTGGAGTCGGCGGCAGGTGCGGCTGGGCCTGGGCAGGGGTGCAGGTGGGCTGTGTCCAAGCCAGGGCTTGCCCAGGCCCAGCCGCCCCCAGGGCCACCTCTGCTCACGCCGCCTCCTGCACCTGCCCCGAGGGTGGGGAGTGCTGAAGAGGCGTCCCCCACGGCTGCCCCTGCCCAGCCAGCTCCTCACCTGGTACACCCCGGCCACCAGCGTGAGGGCGGTGGCGACACGGATGGCGTGGCAGTCCCGCCCACAGTCCTGCCCCAGCACGGACGCCGAGCTGTTAAGGACACTGCTGTTGACCCCAGGCCCCAGGCCGTCCTGGGAGGGGTCGAAGCCGGCCAGCTGGAGCTCCCGGTCCACCACCTGCCCCACCATGAGGCACAGCAGGCTGAAGATGCCCACAGAGACGTGGCGCGAGGTGCCGAGCAGGAAGTAGATGAGGTTCGCGTAGAAGGAGGTGTAGAGGCTGTAGATGGGCTGCAGCCCGGCCAGCAGCGCGTAGGCGATGGCCTGCGGGACCAGGATGACGCCGATGACCAGCCCCGACATGACATCGCCGGCCAGGTCCTCCCGCGGGCGGTAGTGGCGCAGCCAGCGCGTGGCAGGGACCAGGTCCTGTAGCAGCGCCCGGGCACGCGGCACGCTGCACGCACAGCTCCGCCCCAGCCTGCCCTTCAGCGTCTCCAGCAGGCCCCGGGGCGCAGGGGGCTGTCGGCGCACCAGCCCCGAGCCTGCACCCTGCTTCCCGGGCTCAGGGCACGCCTCCATCACGCAGCGCCAGGCCCACACGCCAACCTGCAAGAAAGCAGGCACAGGTTGGGGGCCCAGAGCCCACTCCCAGCCCCCACCCCCAGCCCAGAGTCCAGGTTCAGATGGGAAAGGCCAGGCGGGGATGGACGCTGCCTGCCACCTGGGACAGAGGTCGGAGGTCACCTGCTCCCAGGGCCCAGAGCCGCTGCCCTGTGTGGGCAGAGACAGCCCCAAGCTCCAAAGTTCTGTTGTTGCGACAGTGACAGGCGTGTGTCTCCCGTGCGGGCCAGGGGTGCTCAGGGGCAGCTGCCTGGAGCCCCCCGAGGCTCTTGAAGCGTCTCTTCTCGGGGGAGGGGTGGGAACCCTGGCCGTGTCCCCCCACCCAAACCACTGCCCGCTTTCCCTCTGTGGGCGCCCCAGGCCAGGGCTGGGAGGGCCTCCTCGCCCCAGCTGCGGGTGCAGCAGCCCCAGCCTGTGTCCGCGGAGTTCTGAGGGTGCGCGAGGGCACTGCCTCCCAGACCGGAGGTGCGCGCTCGGCTGCTGCTCTGTGCCAGCCTCGCCGAGCCTGCGGCGGCCGTGGGGCTGACCGGGCCGTCACCTGCTTCTGCAACCCCCGCCCGGTGCTTGTGGGGGGGGACACGGGAGTGGTGTCCCTTCACACGAGGACCCCACCTCACTGGTCCTGGGGACCCCACGAGCGCCACCTGCCTCTGTGCCTGAGGTCCCCAGAGAAAACCTAGGAATCGCGGTGTGGCCAGCCAGGCTCAGCTCCTGTTGCCCAGCAAACCGTCCTGTCCCTGGCTGGCCGGCGCCAGGGCCGTCCTGTGCCCGGGGCCAGGCGCGGCTTCTTACCTGGGGAGCCCCTTGCGAGCTCGGCAGGCCACGGGGTACCGGGCGGGGGCTGGGTGTGCCGCCCGGCTGGCTTCTGTGGTGGGCAGGAGAGCAGGAGCGGCCACAGGTCTGGTGGTGACCCTGGGGGAGAGGGCCTGCAGTTAAATTATTTACAAGACAGCTGAGTCATGAGTTTGCCTGGACGAGTGAGCGCTACCTGCATGGCTAATCCAGCAAGCTGTACAGTAATCAGACACACAGAGGGAGGTACAGCCGTGCGGACGCGGTCAGCTCCCCCGCCCCGTCCCGGGAGCAGGGGCCTCGCCAGGGTGGACGCGGTCAGCTCCCCCACCGGGAGCAGTGGCCTCGCCAGGGTGGACACGGTCAGCTCCCCCCGCCCCATCCTGGGAGCAGTGGCCTCACCAGAGTGGACGCGGTCAGCTCCCCCGCCCATCCCGGAGCAGTGGCCTCACCAGAGTGGACGCGGTCAGCTCCCCCCGCCCCATCCCGGGAGCAGTGGCCTCACCAGAGTGGACGCGGTCAGCTCCCCCCGCCCCATCCCGGGAGCAGTGGCCTCGCCAGAGTGGACGTGGTCAGCTCCCCCCACCGGGAGCAGTGGCCTTGCCAGGGTGGATGTGGTCAGCTCCCCCCACCGGGAGCAGTGGCCTTGCCAGAGTGGACGCGGTCAGCTCCCCCCCAGGAACAATGTGGAATAGTGGCCTTGCCGGGGTGCAGGGGGTGGGCCTGGGTGCAGGGGGTGCGCAGGGGTGCAGGGAGTGGGCCTCGGAGCTGAGCTGCAGACCCCAGACCTGAAGGTTGCTGTGCTCGGGGGAAGCGGGAGGCCCCCACCCCCACCCCCAGGAGGGGACTGAGGAGGGCACTGGTCTCCCATTCAGCCACCAGCTCCCCTCCTGGTCCTGCAAGGAGACAGGTCGGTCCAGGCCGCGGCAGGTGGCCACTGGATGGCCACGACCCCAGCCTGTCTGGTCCTTGTGCGGCCGGCCAGCGCGAGGCTGTCAGGAGGATGCGTGTCCCTGGAGCGGGGCACCTGCACTGGGCGTGACTGGGGTGGGGAGCTGCCTCTCATTAAGACAGGCACCTGGGGACGGGATCCTGGGCCAGCACTGATGCCCCAGCAGCCGGCTGGCAGGGCTGGCAGGAGGGGGCGTGGGCCACCCTGGGGCCCAGGTGCGAGGGCAGGGGGGCAGCAGACTTTAGAGGGAGGCCGTGTGCACCCAGCCCACTTGTGCTCTCCCCTCCTGGCTGCTGGCGGTCCCTGGAGTCCCCTGCACCTGGGACGGCCAGGCTTGTGCTGGGGGCCATGATGACGGCAGCTCCTGAGGGGAAGTAGGGTCCACGCTTGGGGCCTCCTGTGGGCAGTCTGCTGCCCCGTCCTGTTCTCCCCAGCGGGGCTCCTGGCAGAGATCTGGGGGCACAGGAGTGCAGGGGGGGAGGAAGTGGGCGCCCTGCACCCTCCCCCTCTCCAAATCCCTCCCCTCTGGGAAGGTCCAGCACAGGACCCACTGGTCCCTGGGGTGTGGTGGGGGTGGCGGCCAGGGTTTTCCTGGGAGGATGCTGGGGTGCAGAGCCCGGGTAGGGGGCGCCAGCCTCAGGAAGAGGCACTTCCTGCCCACCCGCGCTTCAGTTTCTCCGCGCGTGCGCGCCGAGGCCGGTGTGGCCGGCGCGTAGGGCCCCCGGGCTGGGGCTCCTGGCTGCTGCTGGGGTCCCGGTGCCGCGGCCCCTCGCCGGCCGCCTCCGGCCCGATTGAGTCGTTCAACCCGCAGCTTGAACGGCAGTCCGTTTATTTGGGAAGGAAGCGCCGCACCCCTGCCGCCAGCGGCGGAAAGCGGTGCCCGGGGGCGGGGGCGGGGGCTCCTGGTGCGGGTCTGCATCCCGCGGCGCGCCCGGCCCCGCCCGCGGCGCCCAACCCCCAGCTTGTCCCGCGCACGCGCGCCCCCGGCCGACCCGCGCACTCACCAGCGGGCCAGCGGTGGTGCGGTCCGCGCCGCGCACGCGCTCCGCCCCGCCCCGGCGGGGGTCCGCGCGCTCCGACCCCGGCGTCTCCGCGGGCTGGGCTGCGATGCGCGCCGCGGGCTCCGCCGCTCCCCGGGTGCGGTCTTGTTCCCCTCCCAGCCGGGGCCCCGCGCCTCTCTAGCCGACTCTAGTGCAGAGTGCGGGCGGGGGTCCTCCCGGGGTCTTCAGAGGGCGCCTGCGCCCCGTGGGCAGCGCGTTTAATTTTTATCCTATTAGTTTTTTTTTTCTTTGCTCCTGGTTGTGGCCTTTGGACAAGAGCGGAGGTGGCAAGG